TGGTCCCAGTCCTATGCATGGCCCCTCCCCCATGCACGGCAAGGCCAGCCCACTGCCCAGCGGGACGCCTACAGGGCCTCGCAACGGCCCTGCACATTTCGCGCGCGGTCGCAAACCGCAGAATGCTTCGTTTCGCGGCCGAGGCATGCATGTGCTACGCGCCGTCCCACCACAGAACATCCATCCTCCGATACATCTGTTCCCCAATGGTATCGAGAGCGGCCCCGTACTCCCTCCGAGTCTCCAGTTTGGTCTCAACGCGGTGAATATGCCCATGCCCATACCAACTATGCCGACGATGCCGTTCCTCCCCTCGCGCTCTCCGTCGCCTGTGTCAAGGCGGCCATTCGGCAAGGATGCGAAGAAGGTGGATTACGCCGCGGTGAAGGCGGCTCTCGCGCAAAATGGTTACGAACATATCGCGATCGACGGAAGTGTGGGGAATGTAGGAGAGGATGCGGTCAGGGCGTTCTTGGCAGAGTTCCCGGTCGACCAGGTGCGTCGCGAAGTTCTCGTGTTCGCTGCATATTGCTGACCTTCCTCGCGTACAAGATCCTCCGTGACCGGCATAGTTGGTACGTGACCTTCAAGACAGCAGACTCGGCGCGTCGCGCGCAAGCTGTGGTCAAGTTGACCAGGCGGACGCTCGCGAACCATATGGTCACGGTCACTGCTCGTCCCGCGCCGACGCACGTGCCGATTGCCCACAAGACAAAATGGACGGAGGAAGAGATGTTGGAGCAAGCGGAGACGACTCTCATTGGCGAACTTCGCAAGATGCTTGAGAAGGACGTGACCGAGCGTGTCTTAGCCCCGCGCGTGGCGAGGTTGGTCATCGAGCAGCGAGGGAAGTCGGGCGCGCGTATCCCGCATGCGGTTGGCGTGGACGGTCATGTAGCTGAAGTACCGGACGGTCTTGATCCGAAGTATCTCGACCGTAACGGTCTTCGCGGGCTCTCGTTCCGCAAGAAGCGCACGAGGGAGGAGCTCACCCCTGCTGTCTCTACCGAGACCGTGGCTGTTTCGGAGAGAGCGGAGGAGGAAGAGGTCGTGGTGGAGAGACCGAAGAAGAAGCTGAAGAAGTCGAAGAAGGTCGTCATCGAGGACAAGGTTATCGAGTCGGAAGACGAGGATGCCACGCTCGTGCCCGCGGTGACCCAGCCGCGCAAGCGTGCCATGTCGGAGGCCAGCGACCTCGAAGTACCCGTCAAGAAGAAGGTCAAACCGGTGCCGCGACCGAAGAAGAAGAAGGCTGTCGTCGTCGATACTGTCCAAGACTCAAGGCAGACAAGTGTCTTCGAGGACGAGGTCGTTCATGAAGTGCTGCCTGGTGACTTGCCCTTTGAACAGCCTTCTGTTGCTCAAGTTCGCGTTACTCCCTATGAGTATTCTCCGTCCCCTGCACCCTCGCCTGCTGTTGCTCCGCCGGTTTCTGTACCCGAGGTCCCTGCCATCGATCCCATCGCCGAAGGCATCTGTGAGGACGACGAGGACATGTACTTCGCTAAGCTGGCACTGGAGCGTATGCTCTTCGGCAAGACCGCACCAGCGGAGGACTCAGAGGAGCCTGAGGAAACCGATGGCCCAAGACCCTTCCGCAAGCATCTCACTGGCTCGGCACGTACAGAAGGCTACTACAAGATCCCGCATACCGAGAAGTCATCCTATGTTGCTCAATATGCCTTGCGTGGTATGACAGTCACCGTCAACACGGAAGTCGAGCGCGCCCCGCCACCGCAGAAGGCGATCGCGACCTCGCGCTCCAACCGTGCCAACGCTCGTCGACGCGCACAAGGCCTGGAGGAGATGAACATGGTGCAACGTGCGATGGCTCTGTCGAAGGGCGAGGCGGCCGCTCCGGACTCCGTCAAGTACAATCAGCTCCAGACGAGGAAGAAGCATCTGCGGTTCGCGCGGTCTCCTATCCACGACTGGGGTCTATACGCAATGGAGAGGATCAGCCGTGGCGATCTCGTTGTCGAGTACGTGGGCGAGGTCATCCGCGCGCAGGTGGCGGACAAGCGCGAGAAGGCGTACGAGCGGCAGGGCATCGGAAGCAGTTACCTCTTCCGCATCGACGAGGACCTGGTGGTGGATGCGACGAAAAAGGGAAACCTTGGGTACGTCCTTCAGTTGTCGAGATGCGTTCGCAGTGCTGACGTTGTCGCAGTCGTCTCATTAACCATTCTTGCGACCCGAACTGCACGGCGAAGATCATCACGATCAGTGGCGAGAAGAAGATCGTAATATACGCGAAGCAAGACATTGAACTTGGCAGTGAGATCACCTATGGTGCGTAGTCCTCGTCTTCATGGTTCCCCGGCAGGTTCCATTGACATTGGACCTTCCGCGCAGATTATCATTTCCCTATTGAACAGGACAAGATACCCTGCCTTTGCGGCTCCGCAAAGTGTCGTGGGACTCTTAACTAGAGACTCTCCCTATGTTTATACGTCGGTATCGTTTGCATCGGATACCCTGCTGTCGCTGTCTCCCTGTCTCTTGCCCTTGGCCGTGCCTCTATTACTACTACATTGCTCTCATGGTCGACTCACTCTTCTGCACACAACTCCGACTCTTGCCACGCACACTGTATCTTATATTGTAACACATGTTCTATCAGGACCTATGCTGTGTTATGGTCGAATAATGCACTGGTACTCTTGCGCGCGGGGCGATGTATGCATGTGCCGCGGAAGATGATGGCAATGGTCTGACTCTACGGTCTTGCTTCGCATCTACCGGCGCGGCGGTGCCCACTGTACTTAGCGAAAGCGTCCGCCAATGACCTCGACGCCGCCCAGAGCGCTCGGGACGGATCATGGTCTGCTGTCACGACGTCCTCGACATGCGCATGAGACCTCGCTTGGGCTTGAGCACGAACCACCATGATCTCCAGACGGGCTCTCTCCTCGCTGCGACGCGCCCCGCTTGCCCGAGGTCTGTCCTCCAGGGCGTCGAATATTCTCCATGCTCTGGATATTCGGTCGGAGAGCGAACTCGCAGGCGTGTACGACGGTGAATGGACCGGATCTGGGGAGGTTCTGGAGAGTGTGTGCCCGACGACCGGTGAGGTCCTCGCGCGCGTGAAGTCGGTATGTTACATCGAAGTGTGGAACTGTGGACGCGTCACTCACCGTGCACGGCATCGTAGGCGACGCCCGCCGAAGTCGAGCGTGCCCTGGAGCGCAGTCGGGAGGCGTATCAGGTATTCAGGACAGTGCCTGCACCGAAGAGAGGAGAGATACTGAGGCAGATACGAGAGGCGCTCTCCGCGAAGGTATGCACCTCCCACTTGCACCTTGAGCTTGAACCTGCGGTACGACAGACTATATGCGCCTCGTTCGCAGCGCGATGACCTTGGAGCCTTGATCTCGCTGGAGATGGGCAAGATTCGTACGGAAGGCGAGGGTGAGGTGCAGGAGTTCGTGGACATAGTGAGTTCCCTCTCTTGTCACATCAGCTACCGCCGTCTGATAATGACATGTCCAGGCGGACTACGCCGTTGGGTTGTCTAGGATGATGAACGGCAGAGTCGTCGCGTCCGAACGCCCCGGCCACAGTATCCTTGAAGGTGTCGTCGCGCTTCCGCAAGTATCCGCAGTCCGCGAGCTGATCCTGCGACAGTGCCCAACCCTCTCGGAGTCGTCGCAGTGCTCTCCGCGTTCAACTTCCCTGTGGCCGTGTATGGTTGGAACTTGGCCTTGTCGTTCGCTGCAGGCAACGCGACACTCTGGAAGCCCGCGCCGAGCACGCCACTCTGCTCCATCGCGGTGACGAAGATCGTCTCTAGCGTCCTGGAGAAGAACGGCATCCCTGGCGCGGTCGCGGGCCTGGTGACGGGTGGCAAAGCCGTTGGCGAGGCCGTCGTAGGGAGCTCGGATGTCGACATGGTTTCGTTCACCGGCAGCGAGACAGTCGGTCGTGAGGTCGGGAAGGTCGTACAGGGACGCTTCGGCAAGGTGCTCCTTGAACTGGGCGGCAACAATGGTATTGTCTCATACCATGGTCTACTTTGACTCTGAGGTGTTCACGATGTTGTAGCTGCGATCGTCATGCCTGACGCGGACCTCAACATGGCCATTCCTGCCGTCTTCTTCGGAGCCGTTGGGACCGCTGGACAGCGCTGCACCTCAACACGGCGGCTTTACCTGCACTCCTCCATCGTGCAGAAGTTCCTGTCGCGCCTCGAGTCGCTCTACCAATCCGTCCGCCCTGGCGATCCGCTCGACCGCTCGACGCTGCTTGGCCCCCTGCACTCACGCGCGGCTGTGGGTATCTACCACGACGCCGTAGACCATCTATTGAAGACAGGTGCCGAGGTCCTGACTGGGGGCGCACCCTACAAAGACCTCCCCGCACCGCTCAATGGCGGTAACTTTGTCATGCCGACCATCGCAATCCCGCAGGAAGTGAACGTGAAGGACCCCGTGTGGAGCACAGAAACGTTCGCCCCCGTGCTCAATGTCGGCGTGTTCGACAAGCTTGAGGAGGCGATCGAGTGGAACAACGGGGTCCCGCAAGGCCTCAGCAGCAGTCTCTGGACACGGGATATCCGCAACGTCGGGAAGTGGATTGGTCCGGCCGGCTCGGATGCAGGCATCGTGAACGTGAGTATGTCGCAATTGCATGTTGTGCCCGCTAATGCGTTCTGTTGCTTCAGGTCAACGTTGGTACAAGTGGGGCGGAGATTGGCGCAGCATTTGGTGGTAATAAGGTGTGTATCCAAGTTATGGCCCATGCTCGACGTCATGATGTTGACCGTTTTCCAGAGCACCGGCTGGGGTCGTGAGTCGGGCGGAGATGCCTGGAAGCAGTACGTGCGCTGGAGCGCCTGTACCCTCAACTTCTCGGATGAGGCACCTCTGGCACAGGGTGTGCAGTTCTCTAACACTGCATAGCTTGGCACAGGCTCATCATAGGATGGACCTGAGCATAGCTTGTATCATAGTGAGGCAATCTAGGGAAGTTTGCGACTGACGTCAAAATAGTGTCAAAAAGGGCCCAACCGGGAATTGAACCCGGGACCCCGTGCAATTGAAGTGGCTTCGAACCACCGAGTTTCCCACCCGAAGCACGTATCATACTACTAGACCATTGGGCCATACTAATCCATAAAATAACACTTTTCATATACATGTACGGGCAGACTAGACACGACTACGCCGCTGCCAGTGCTACTTGTGAGTAGTAAGTACACTTCATCTGTTCTGCCCTTTGACTTAGACTATTCCCTTGACTTACCTACCCCCAGTCTCTCCTCCTGCTCGTGCTCCTCCGCTGCTCTTCCAGTCGCCGTTACTGCCGCTGTCCTTGAGCCATCCGGCGTTCACTCGCATGGAATGAAACCGCTCTCGACTCTATCTGCTCTCCTCGTCACTGCTGGAGTATGTCTCGCTGAAGTCCTCTCGCTTAGGTCTGGAGCTGGGAAGGACCTTGCTCCCCATGTCAACGTCGTCCGGGATGGTCGGGCGTATGGAGGGAACGAGGAGCTGGAGCTGCTGGATATCGTTCTTGTTGCCTCCGTGGACGGTAAGTTGCATGCCCTGAACCGTACGTCGGGAGCGTCGCTCTGGTCCATGGCTTCCTCCGGCAATGCCCCAGCTGCCTTCGGCCCTCTCGTGCGCACAGAGCATCCTGACGTCGACCCCGACGTTACCGACGACGACGATTCCAGCCGGGAAATCTATGTCATCGAGCCTCAGTCCGGCGACATCTATGTCATGTCTTCGCCAGATAGCCCACTTCAGCGCCTTCCCTTCTCTATGTCGCAGTTGGTCGACATGTCTCCTTTCAGCTTCGCCGGAGATGAGGACAGACGTCTCTTCGTTGGGAAGAAGGCAAGCTCGTTACTGTTGATTGAGCTGGAGACGGGGAGGATCAAGGCTACGGTGGACCCCACGTGTCCCTGGCAGCCTTTCGAGGACCTGGCCGAGACGTCACAAGACATAGACTTGGACGAGCTTGAAGGCTCGAAACCTCCAAAGCCGAAACCAAAGGAGGTCTTCGTAGGACGTACAGGTAATCGCGCCCCTCCTGTCGATTCGATAGCTTTGAAATGCTGACACCTTGCAGACTATCATCTGGCCATCCATACCCGCCCATTACCGTCCTCTGGAAGCAAACCCCACGTCCAGAGATTGTCCTTCTCTACATACGGTCCTAACAACCAGGATCATATCCTCCAATCCCTATACCAGCGCACTGCCGACAATGCCTATATCCAGTCCCTGCCCACAGGCAAGATCATCTCGTTCAAGACGGCATCTCCAGAAACGTCCGACTCCTCTCCCAACTCCAATTCGGAACTGATGTGGTATCACGAGTTCTCGAATCCCATGTACGTGGTCGTCCGGCTCTCGACGTACATGGAACTCACTATGTTGTAGCGTCGCTACTCTCGACGTCCTCCGCTCTCCCAAGCGCGAGAACCCGTTTGTTCTAGTGCAACCTCAGCCCCGCCTACAAGAGATCCTTCCATCCGTTGACCTTACCTCCGCCGCAAAGCACCAGCGGCTCCCCAACCTCGACGCCGCATACGTCGGGCTTGTTGAAGAGACTGGGTCACTCTTCGCCATGAGCCCAGACCGCTTCCCCCTCGTTGTCTTCGGCGATTCAAACGAGGACAATGGTCGGCATTGGCGCTCCATCGACCCCCCTCCAGGTTCCGTCTTCGACCCGACGTATGGCTACGACAAAGACTTCCCAGCCGATGTCGATGGTGTCACGCGGATAGCCAAAGCGAAGCGGCTCCGTGAGATGTGCAAGAGCGGCGCTCTGGATGTGCGCTGTCTCACAGGAGTTCGAAAGCTCGGTTCGGATAGTCAGTCGAGGCTCAGCCGACTGCTTGATGGTGCGCCCTCAGTCATGCCCCCGCCTCCACCCCCATACTCGAACTCCAACAACGTGGAAATGCGCGAGGAGAGTCGTGTCCCGGATTCCCATGCGCCGGACGCCGGTAATGCGTCCGTCAGGCCTCCGCCCGCATGGAGCAATGCCTCGGAGACTCCTCGCCTGGAGGACAGGTCATCCACCGGCCTCCTGGGAATGAGCCCATCCACGCAGGCGTTCTCGGCCTTCGCACTCTGTGCGACTGTGTTACTCCTGTGGATGTCTGTCCGGAAGTTTCTGGCGCCTGCTATTCCTGCCGCCGCCCAGGTGTCCGTTCCTGCACCGCCCCCAGAAGTCAGCGACGTCACTACGAAGCCTGTGGTGGACCAGTCTGCCCCTGCAGATCTCCCGGAGAAGGCAGCTAACGGGCATGCTGAGCCTCTTGCGGAAGAGGCAGAGAGTCCTTCGCCCGAGCCGTCTCCCGCGCTCGCCAAGAAGGTGCTCTTCGCGCCAGAGGCCCTGGAGTCTGTAGAGGATGCGGCGGATGGTGAGGAAGATGTTGAATCCGCCGACGCGCCCGGGAAGCGCAAGGGTATCCGGAGGAAGAGAGGCAGGAAGAGGAAGGGCGTTACTATCGCTGTACCTGCGGACGAGGTCGAGGAGGTTGCAGAAGCGACGCCTAGTGCAATCCCCGAGGCTCCCAAGGATGCTACGCCTACCATCCTTCTCGCTCCTCCGACGCCCTCTACACCTGCCGCGCCCACATTAGTGGTATCCGATGCAGTGCTTGGTAGGCCTCTCCGCTTCCTGCTATCAATTGACTGCGCTAACATGACAATGCAGGTATGGGCTCGCACGGCACGGTCGTATTTAAAGGCTCGCTGCAAGGACGGGCGGTGGCCGTGAAGCGGATGCTCGCCGACTTCGTCACCCTCGCCTCCAGGGAAGTGAACGTGCTGCAAGAGTCGGACGACCACCCGAACGTCATCCGGTACTACTACCAGGAGGCCCACGCGAACTTCCTCTACATCGCGCTCGAGCTCTGCCCTGCCTCGCTGGCGGACATCATCGAGCGACCTGACCAATTCCGCGATATCGTCGTCGCGTTCGAGCCGAAGCGTGCGCTACGCCAGATCACCGCTGGGCTACGCCACCTCCATGCGCTGAAGATCATCCACCGCGACATCAAGCCGCAGAACATCCTCGTGTCGCATGCCAAGAAGGGCGCGGGGGAGAACGCAGGTCACCGGATGCTCATCTCGGACTTTGGACTGTGCAGGAAGCTCGAGTATGACCAGACGAGTTTCATGCCCACCGCGCATGGATCGATGGCCGCCGGCACCGTCGGCTGGCGGGCGCCCGAGATTCTGCGGGGCGAAGTCAAGCTGACCGACTCGGGCGACGAGTCACAGTCGTCAAGAGGAAGCGTGAACGGGTCCACCCCCGCTGGTACCCCAACGGGCAAGCCGACGAAGTTGACCAGATCGGTCGACATCTTCGCTCTTGGGTGCTTGTACTACTATGTGTTGACGAACGGGCTCCATCCGTTCGGCGATCGTTTCGAGAGGGACTTCAACATTGTTAAGAACGCGAAGAACTTGGAGGGTTTGGAACGGTTCGGGGAAGAGGGTGCAGAGGGTGTAGACCTCATTACGAAGATGCTCAGTCCGGAGGCCTACGATAGGTGCGTGGTGATCTGGTTCTGGCATCCAGGCAAGATTCTGACTAAATGGGCGGCAGACCGGACGCCAGTACATGCTTACTCCACCCATACTTCTGGGACCCCGGCAAGCGACTCACGTTCCTCCAAGACGCGTCTGACCGGTTCGAGATCATGTGTCGCGACCCGAAGGACGCGAACCTTGTCGCGCTGGAGAAGGGCGCATACGACGTCGTGGGCGCGGACTGGCACTCGCGGCTAGACAAGCTGTTCATAGAGAATCTGGGGAAGTTCCGGAAGTACGATGGGAAGTCAGTACAGGATCTCCTTCGTGCATTGCGGAACAAGGTGCGTCATATCGGTCCTTCGCCATATAAGACCTAACTGAAGAGTGTCGGCAGAAACACCACTACCAAGACCTCCCCGACAACGTCAAGCGGCTGCTTGGGTCTATGCCCGAGGGCTTCCTGACGTACTTCACGCGACGCTTCCCCAACCTCTTCCTCCACGTCCACGGCGTCATCTCGCACTCCGCCCTCCGCACCGAGTCCATGTTCCGCACGTACTACGAGCTCAGCGACTAGCGCTGAGCTTTCTTCCCCATGCTGTCTCGCCTTCGGCCCTCTCGCACCTCCCCCGCATCTGGACGCATCTGTTTCACGCACATCTAGCTTGGTTGTTTATTCGTCATTACTGTTAAGCACTGTATCTGTATCGCATCGCTGTGCTGTCGACCTTGGGGGCACCTGCTGAAGCTACCCACTAATATTGCTGTACCTGGTATCGTTGTCGTATGGACTCTGGAATGTACATATCTCGCGATTCGTGTTATAGCGGGAGTCCACTTCGTCTTGTCATCTTCCTGTAAGCTTGAGTTCTGCGGGCAGCGGGAGAGACCCAGAGACTTGCCCAGAGAACTGCGGACCATGTAAACCATATATGTGTGATTCTTGCTTTGATCTGACAATGCACAATCTCAGACTCCAGCTCGGGAGTGGTCATCGGGATACAGTAACTGAACGATGTCAAACTATGTGCTCTCGAAGAACAGTGAGAAGCAGAGGTAGTGCAATCCAAGGATTCGAGGCCGGTTGGAGGACGATTCGTGGAACCGTCAATTCCTATGCAGTTCGCGTTGGTTCGACGGTATCGTAGAGAATCGGCTCCAAGGTCACGACATTCTCTTCACCACCATAGACCCACCGCCCATCCATAGCGAATGCGGTCTCGGGGAGTCGTCGAAAGCGACGTCAAACTGTGAGCGCCTAAAGCCTTGTCTTCAGCTACATCCACCACCATGCCCGACATACCTGTCGGCGCGCAGGTATTCGACCTCGCTTTCCATCCAGACCAATCTCTTGTGTTTGCTGGGCTCCTCACGGGAATAGTGAAGGCTTTCACATACGACGAACAAGGCAACCACGAGGAGAAGTTCTCTATCCGACCGTCCAAACGGTCATGTAGGGCTCTCGCCGTGAGCGCAGACGGGTCCCAGCTGTGGGCTGCAGGGAAAGCCAAGGCCATCCAGTGCGTGTAAACCTCCCTGAAATATCTCTTTACTTGTGCTCATTTTTCGTTGTAGCACGATAGATGTCGGAACGGGAGAGGTAGTC